AAATACGAACCGAGAGGAAGTAGGTCTCTTTTCGCGAAGCTGGGACAGCAGGAGGAAGGGTGAGATTTTAGCTCTGAGCTCTGACTTCTTGGCTTTCTCTTTTACATTGTTTCTGTGTTTCTTATTTAATAAGACGGTTGGTTACATCTACACACGAGCCATGTGGCAAGGTATAGATTTATGGAAATTGATTAATTTAAGCTATAAGAACAGTTAGCAAGAAGCCTGCCACGGTCATACAGTTTGTATGCAATATAAGTCTCTGTGTTTACTTGGTTGGGTCTGAGTGGCTGTGGGACTGGCGGGTGACAAAGATTTGTCCTGACTGTGGGCCAGGCAGGAAAACTCGAGCTACATGTGTGGTCCTGCAATTTTAACAGTTACCTTCTTTGCATGCACTTCTCTCTTGCTGCCTCTTATCATGCTTAGGCTTTGAAATTGTAAGCTGCATATGCCTGGTATCAGAATCTTCTCAACACGAATATTTGAATGAACAATAAATGAGTCAACCCATGGCTTCTGTCCAAGTCTGATAATACTTGCCAGAATCTAATTGTTGTCATTTACATAACATGATCTAGTCAGGCTGTTCCTCCTTCTTCTTGAGAAGCACTTTGATCTACAGCAGACCTGGCATACTTCACTTCTCTGCGACCTGCTCCCTGAACCTGGTCCACACAACAGTGTGAAAAACTGCCACCCCAAGGTGAGTGAAAGGCATGGCAGAAATAGATGCTATAAAAATTCAGTGTCAGCTGCTACAGTTTCTCCCAGCAAACAGCTGAAAATGTGCTTGGTGTTAGCTTCCAGATTGTTGTTCCTTCCCCCTCCTCCTTTTCTTTTTTATCAGCAATAGGACAAGTGGTAGTTGGTGTCTTGTGTTTTAAACCTTGCCTACTCTGCTCTCTTTTCTTCTTATCTAAGATAGTTATCTTAGGAAATGGAGCCAAAGAAAGTGTGCCTGAATAAAAATGAAAGATGGTTTGTGTAGGAGCCCAGTATGCAGTGAAAAGGTCAGTTCTCTTCCCAGGTACCATGGCAAAGCTTTTGCCAAGAAGGTCTTTCTGCGATGCTTTTGTTAAACCTCTTTGGAATGGATGAAAATGACCATAGTTCCTTTGGCATGCCTGGCTCCCCTCTTTTGGAAATAGGGATGATCTTCCCCTTGAATGAGGCCTTGGGACAGTGTAACCAAAAGAACATAGTGGATGGGATCATCTTACCTAATGACCCCAAGTTTTAAAATGTCTCTCAGCTTCCAGTCTTATAGTTTAAGGATACCCACTTGGACATATGTAAATCTTGCTATCCTATGGCAGAGCTCACATGATGCTGCGTGCATAGAGCCAGACCCATCTCAGCACCCTAGAGAACCTGTAAATGGCTTGGTCATTCGCCACTTACAGCGGAACATCCCCGCTGAGTTGGCTCAACCTACAGAAAGGTGAGAGTGAACACAGCATGGTTGTTTGTTTAAGTCCCTACATTTTGTTGTTGCTTAGAAACCACAAGAAATCATTTCTTTGAAGTGGGTTGTTTCTGTAAGAAACCCAAAATCAGCATGTGGGTCTGGCTTTGGGATGAACAGTAACAGGGAAGAACTTAGAGAAATGGTTAAGAGGAAGAGTCAACTCAGGGAGAGAATTAGCGTAAGATGAAAGAAAAAGGGTGATCTGTTGTCCTGGGTCAGAAAGCTTGGCAGGAATTTGATAGATCGGAAACTAGCAACTGTATCTTGTGGACTTCCGGCAATAGCTCTTGGTGTGTGCCCAGTGCATTGCCCTTTACAACCCCGCAAGAGTGCTATCAATATGCCTGTGAATAAGTGAGATAACTTAGAGTAAAGGAAGTGAAGTTTCCTTCCCAGTATCACACCTGGTAGGCTGCAAACTCATAGATTTTTATCACACTTTGGTGAAAGGGGACCAGACTAAAACAAAAGTACTAATGGGGTCTGTCATAATGACCTAAATATCTGAGGAAAAGCACTGAATGGAGGATAATTCACTTTGACTCATGGTTGCAGGTGCACTTTTTGACCTCATGCATGTGGGCAGGGCATCATGGCCAAAGAGACTGTTCCTTACTTTCTGATGGTCAGAGACCATCAAAGGACAACAGTGACTTTGATTAAGGCTGCTGACATGATCATGGGTGAGGGGAGATTTACAAAACCATGCATGGGCAACATAATCATTGTACATCACTGAATAATATGTCTCCTCCCAGCAACCAGTTAACTGCCAGTAGCTTCTCAGGAAGGTGTGTGGATTCTCATGTGTTCCCTCCACACCCCCACCTCCTGCTAGCAACCAATAACTGTCTCTAAATCCCCAGGAGGAGAAAGACCTCACAAACAGCTCCTGAATTCTTGAGGAATGATGATGGGTCCGATCTTGTGCAGGTCTGTGAAGGTAGGTAATCATAGGTCCTGAGGAGACACGGGTTACCCAGGTGACAGCTTCCTGCAATGCTCCTCCCCTTTCTCTGGCTCTTAAATTCCTTCCATCCTCTCCTCCATGATGTTCCCTGCACTTTGAAGGGTGTGATTTAGATGGCCTATTTATTCATTCTCAGCGTTTTGACCAGCTATGTCTCTGCAGTAACTGCTGTCCAGTGCAAAAAGGAAGCTTCTTGGACTAGAGCTGAGAGCAGCACTAATCTATGGGCATGAATCCATAATTTAGAAGGCCAGCTGAGGGGCACACCATGTACATTTAGCTGAATAACAATGTGGGCTGCTGTATTGTCTTTGCTCCTCGCTAATCACAGCAGCTACTCTGTTACTTCACGGCCGCTGCCTTCTTTCTTTTGACATCGGAACCTTCTGATGTGATCTGAAGGCAAGTGCCAGGAATCCTCCAGGCCTTCAATACCAGATGTGTATTGCTAAGACATGCATCCTTGTGGTCGACTGAGCAGCTATCAGATTCTTAGCAACTAACTGTTTGACTATCCAGTCCATATCATAAAAACCAATGGAATAAATCCTGTCTATATAACAACAACAAATCACAACAATAGCCTCCCAACTCCGGCCCATGACCTCCACAGCAAAAGGCTTTTTACCAGGTTTACAATGTCAGATGTAGCTTTCCTCCTGTGGAGTGAGCCTCAATTCCAATAGCAAAGTAGTTGGATACCCCTGTAACAGATATGTTACTTCTGCACCAGACTAACCAGCCCACAGAGGAGTAAGGCAGTTGATAAGTTGTCCTTCAGAAACCTACATAGCACCTTTGGACACTTTGGGGGCTAGCAATCAGAATGCTTCTGAGTTCTAGATTGATTTCTCCATGTCCTACTACCAGGGCATGTGGCAGCTTCAGTAGTAGGGTCTTCTTATCTAGTTCTGGTCGGTAACTAGTGGGGGTAGGAATTACCTGTATTGTTTGGGTCTTTCTGAAGTCTCTCAGAATTTGGTGGTCTTTGGAAAGAATCTTTTTTTGTTTGTTTGTTTGTTTTTGAGACAGGGTTTCTCTGTGTAGTTTTGGTGCCTGTCCTGGATCTCGCTCTGTAGACCAGGCTGGCTTCGAACTCACAGAGATCTGCCTGGTTCTGCCTCCTGAGTGCTGGGATTAAAGGCGTGTGCCACTACCGCCCAGCAAGAATAATTCTTTATCAAGAATTTTTCTACTGTACTAACCTTGGAATCAGTTGCTAGACAATTACAGCTTTTGGAGAGTCATGCCACTTGTATTATATGTTTCTTGTATTTCTAAATTGGTGTTTCACTTCTGTTTAGATGGATGTGGTGATGTTTAAGTAGGTTGTCAACTGGACCAGGAATCATCTAAAAGGCAAGCAACTGGACATGCTTTTGAATGATTTCATTTGTTTTATTTACATTTTTGGATGTATTTATCTGATTTATGTGTATGGCATTTTGCCTGAATGTGTGTGTGTGTGTGTGTGTGTGTGTGTGTGTGTGTGTGTGTGCCATGTGCATACCTGGTGCCTGTGGAGGCAAAAGAAGGCATCAGATCCTCTGGAAATGAAGTGTTGGATGGCTGTGAGCCGCCATGCGAGTAGAAACTGTCTTTCCAGCCTGATTAGCGATTTCCTTGATCAGATTATTTGAAATAGGCAGACCCATCCAGATGTCTGGAGGGCACTTTCCACTTGCAGCTCAGATAAAGAAGAAGGAGGAATGCCTTGCTTTTCCTGCATGCTTTCACTCTTTTGCTATCTCTGATAGGTTCATCATCTACCCTATCATTACAGCTGCTGCATTCCTGTGCTGACTTTAGGACCCAGTTTCAAGCAATCAGTGTGGGCTGAAGACCAGCAACTCTGTAGGAATCATCTGGGCCTTCAGCACCAGATTGAGATGGCTGAGACAACCAGCCTTCTGAACTGGTCAACTGAGTGTTTGGCTTTGACAGCCATGATGGGAGTACCCAGACAATATCATGTAAACCAATCTAATAAATGCCCCCTTTAAGTTGTATCCATTCTGTTCATCTATCCATTCTGTTCATCTAGAGGACCCTGATGATTACAGATATTGTTTATACTTCTATGTGAGTTCCAGTGCCTCTGTTACTTCATTGGCAGTGATTAATACAGCTTGATTCCGTATATTCCCTTCCATACGCAAGGGTTCAACTTTTCTGTAGTTTTGACAAGAGTGGGATACTTCTAGTAGATCAGGGATGTGTATTGTAGTAGAGTCTGAGCTCACCTTCTGAGATTACTAATGTTTTTTAAAAAACGTTGGCATCTATTTATTTGTGTATGTGTAATACATGTACATGCCTGCTCACACAGGTGTGTGCTCACCTGCCCTAGCGTGTGAATAGAGGTCAGAGGATAACTTGTTAGTTCTCTCTTTCGATATGCAGGTCCTAGGGATGCTACTCAGGTCGTCAGGCTCAGCAGCAAGTGTCTATACCTACTGAGTCATCTCACTGGCCCCTGTAGTTACTGCTGTAATCTTATTAACACCATGGGGTCTTACAGGGTATGGGAGAAACCTGTGCTGCAGTCCCTCATAGGCAGTGTCCATAGCCTTTCTGTTACGTCGCTGCTGGTGCAGTAGGGGTGCTTGTCTAAGAGTGGGTTCTCGTCCTCCTTACTTAGACCTTGGTTGTCACATAGAGCATCTCTTTGTGGTGATATTTTATTTGTACTGAAATGTTATTTTAATTTTATGTTAATAAATAAAGTTGCCCTGGTGTCAGAGCTATTAGAGCCATAGTGAGAGCGTGGTGGTTAGAAGAGCTAGGTAGATTTCTGTGTGTTCAGGGATACAGCCAGTATTGGAGACATACGCCTTTAAGACCTGGAGGGCGGTA